TTTTTTTTTTTTTTTTTTTTTTTTTTTTTTTTGCATGTTTAGTAGTACACTTAAATTTTTTGAAGGTAGAAAGCATTTTTTCAGAAGAAGATAACTTCTTACTAGTATTTATTGCTTTTTTAAGGTTAATTACTGTTATTATCTTTCACTTCATGTTAGGAGAGTAAAACAGAATTGATTTATTCACATTCATATTGCAAAAAGATACATTTTTGTTTTATTATCATTTTTATTCTTTCTTTTGCAATCTGTACTGTTAATTTTAGTCACCAGAAATGTGGTAATACAGTTTTATTTTAGTTTTTTTTTTTTTCTTTTTTTTTTGGGGGGGAATTGGTATGTTTTCGATGGATTTTTATACACTTTTTTCTACGATGAAACCAAATAGCACTCACTGTCCGTTTAATTTTCGCAACCAATGTGCTGTTCTTCAGAAATATCTGCGTAATCTGTCAGTTACTTTCATGGATCAATAATCAGTTTCACCGTACGATTTCAATGAAACTGAAATGGCTTAATTTTTTGATAAAATATACTTTTGTTTCCACGTTTGGATGTTTTATTTTTTATCGGTTATTGTGAAAATGGAAACCCGTAAATTGTTGCCGTGAAAAAAATGAAGGACAAAAGCATATAAATTTTTAGTTGCAGGGAACTGATTGCTTTGAGGTAAGGGTCTTTGTTTTTACGACCTAACAACCGGTATTAGTTTAGTTCTCTTCATAGACGTAGAAATTGTTAAATTTGTAAAGCTTTCCAGCTCTATATTTTGTTTGCTGTATCTATGTTTGGCTTTACATTATGACACGAGGGATAAGGAGATACGGTTTGCCTGATAATATGTGCTTTTTGTTGGTGTTAATTTATTGCAACATCTTCACTAGCTGCTTATTTGGCGTAATTGATTTGCAAAACGTAATTTTACGATGTACAAAAGCGTTTGCGTTAGAACTTAATATTTGTTCAAAAAGTATGTGTATCTTCAGCGAACATCGCCTTCTTGCAAATTCCGTTGTAGAAGGCTGCCAAACGCGGTTGTGATGGGCATAAGTGCGGAAGCGAAACACACCATACATGTAATCGTTTTTGCCTTATGGCTTATCACTTTTGAGATTATATGTGGTGCAATACCGTTATTTCCTCGCAAGGACGGCGATGAAGCTCTCATAAGATCACCTTTTGAAGGGTAAGAGATAGTTTTTTACTAATTTAGAAGAATTGGTTAAGCATTGGCTTATTGATCTTTGAAATGTTCTTGAAAATGCTTTGCTTCTGAAGGCAGTCTGGTGTTTCAAAAAAAAGACAACAAAATTTATGTTTGTTAAAGGGAAAGGGGTTAGCAGTATGTAAGTACGAAGTCTGTCAATTATTCATTCAAATAGAAAAAATCTTTTTTGTCTACCCTTATTTTTACCGTGCCTGATCTAAAAATTTTTGAGTTTATACTTGATTCTTGTAAGCGTTACGAGGACTTTATGTGGTAAAAATTTTCAGCCAAATTATACCTTTTATTTTTGCTATCTGAAACGATCAGTTTACCAAAAGTTTGCGTTTGGTTCATTTTTTACTTGAGTATTTAATATCTCTTGTTATTTACCAGTCATGCTTTCACAAGATTTATAGTATTTTGAGGAAATTTCGCTCGTTTTGGTGAATATGGTGTTTGATTTTTTTCACTCATTTTAGTTTGTTTCTTTTTCTTCGCTTTTTTTTTAGAAGTTTTGTAGTCGGATACAAAATACCTTTTGCTGATTTCGTTGGCTTACTCTTTACTTTTTCAACTTCTTTGTTGGTGACGCTGAGGTAATTTTCAGTTACGGGTATATCTGTGCGTTGATTTTGTATGCATTACGTTTTGCGTCTCTGTTGGTTCTTCCACAAAGTATCTGCAATATGCTTGGCTTGATTTTATTCAATGGATTTCGGGAGAAGGTCAAGTTGAAGGCTGCACCTCTGTTGGCGCCATTTGTTTGTTTTCGAGTCGTTACTCGAGGGGATTACCCTCAGTTAGTTAAGGTAGAATTTTCCTAGAACTTTCTTTTAGAAGTAAGGTTCCTCTTATATGGTTTGAAATTTTCAAGATCTGCAAATTTAGGACAATATTGATTATAATGTTAAGAAGTGCCATGAGGCAGGGATGGAAAATTTTATGTTTGAAGTTGTCTCTGATAAGCCTATCAATCTTCCTCAATTGCCTCGCTTGCGTGAGGTAGTTGTGCCAGTTTCTTACAGGTCGGTTACTTTGAATTTCGATTTGTTATAATAACTTACATATCCTTTCAAACTAACCAAAATGAAGAGTAGAGGAATACCTTTGAGTTTTTAAGGACTAAAAGTGGTGCTCAATTCAAGTCTAGAGCCTTGCAATATTGTTTGGAGGATGATGTCAACATACTGCCGAGTGATGCTTGGATCGTTCATCTAGATGAAGAAACTTTACTTACTGTTAATTCGGTAAAAGTCGGAGGGTTGTAGAATTGCCTCTTTTAACTCGCTCTTTTCTTCCAAATTTTCATTCACATATGGTCAATTCTATTTCTTCACTAATTTTAATTTTATGACGATTTATTCGGGGTTGAGAGAAAGCTATGATATTTATTATTATTAGATACGCGGTATATTGAATTTTTGTGAAGATGGAAAACATCCGTTTGGCCAAGGAGTGATCACATATGCAAATGGAGATATAGTTAACTGGATTACCACATTGTCTGACTCATTCAGGTCGAACCGTTCTGATGTCCAAAGGATATTAATGCACTTTAATCACCTTTCAATGAGATAGAGGAGTTGTTTGCATTAGTGTTCTTGTGTAACTTTATCTTGTTTTCTTTATTGTTGCGTTTCTAAATTCGTTACCCATTGTAGTTTCAGAGTTGCTGATGATATGGGAAAATTACGCTTTCAGTTCCGTTTCTTTCACAAGCCACTTTTCGGGTGGAAAGGCTCGTATGTTGTTACACAGGTTCGGCTGCCGACCTTTGACTTCTTCAAAATCTTATTTTTTCATTTTGTCCTGCCATTTTTTTAAGGTTGATGCTGAAAGGAAGGTAACGTTTGATCATGGTCGTGAAGGTTCAATAGCTGAAGATTGTTTCTTTAGTATGGTTGCGTTTCGAGATGGCTACACTTTTGATTTTATTGAAGGTATCACTTCATAGAAACTTATTCAAATTTATTTTTCACGCATTAAAATAATTTTATTGACAGGGGAAATGCATGAGAAGAGCCCTTTTACTTTCTGGGACTTTCTTCAGCAGCGCAAGCGTTGGCTGCAAGGCATTTACTTGACTGTGCACGCGAGACAGATACCAGCAAGAGTCAAGGCATGGTTTTGTGATTGTTTTTCAAATTTTACTTCCAGCAGTTTTTGGTGCTCAGCAAGTGGCAAATTATAAGGGTTACTTGCAACTGACTGGTTGTTGACCTTATATGCCAAATGTGGAAAGGAAGTTTATTGTAGTTGTAAGGGTCTTGTGCGAGAAATTTGTCAAATCATATTTCAGTCAGATCTTATCTAAACTGGTCGTTGTTTAGGTGCTGTTGGGACTGTCATTCTATGCCTGGGCGACAATGCCTTTAACTTCTTTACAATTATTCTTCTTTCACGCATTCCCTTTGCCGAAATGGTTTATCATTGATTTCCTTATTGGGTTTGTTGCGGCCGTTAACCTTTATATGTATATTTATGGTGTTATAAAAAGTTTCTCGCACAAATACAGGTAATTTTTGCCTTGAGTCATTTGAAAGTTTTATAAAAAAGAATTTCTGGCGTAGAGGACTGACAAACAGCTAACAAAACTGACTTGCTTTTTAAGGAAAAGTCCGTTGCGGTTATGTGCATATATGATTGGTGCCCTCTTGACGATACCTTTTAATGTTTGGATCGAGAACATCGCCGTTGTATGGGGTATACTTGGAGATAAAAACGGATTTTACGTTGTGAAGAAGGATACAAAGCTAAAAAGTGGCTCTGAAATAGATGAAACTGAAGATTGCTCTTTATTGAGAAATGCTGAGATTTCGCCATGTTAACACGGCTTCTAACATCCTTGAAATTGTTTAGGCGTCATCGATCTTTGCAATTGGTTTTAATTATGGAAGCTTTAAGGTGTATTTCTGAAGTACCGGTCCCTTCTTCAAAACAGATATTTATTTTTATCCCTAAAGTATTTATAAAGGGCTATATTTTTGAAGACAAATTTATTGTAAATTTAATTTTTTCTTTCCTATTCTTGTAAAGGGAAACTACGACTTTGAAACTAATAGAATTGTCGGTACGTTGTAATTTGACCAACGCTCATTTTCTTTCATTGCTCTGTATGTATTGATTTTGAAACTGCCCCTCGGTGAATGCTTAATGCTTACTGCTTAATTATTCTAGGTCATAATCATTTGTTAGCTTTCCCGTAGTGTGTGTTTGTGTGTGTGAAGTATTTGAAATTTTAGGGAGAGGGATGGGCCTTCACAAATTTCTTTACTGGTTAAAATTGAAGATCCCATAGTTTGGACGTGCCCGTTTTTTTATGATTTAAAACCTCGAGTAGCGGAAGCAAATCAAATTTGTGGAGGGCTGCTTTTGTGGTTTTGAAACAGATAATTATGTAACATCATCTGCAAGCCATGTGAAGCAGTCTTGGCTTGCAGATTTGAAGTTAGCGTGTTCCCGTTTTGGAAGCACTATTCTAGTAAAACCTGACTGCATTGCTTTTATCTTTTAAGATCAAATTGTAGAGCTAACCATGCTTTTTCCAGTTAATCACAATAACTGATCGGGTCTCCGTCTTCTTGTTTTGGGTCTGTGTCGACTTCTTTACGATTTTACTCGTCTAACAATTGTTGAAATACAAATTGAAGGCTCAAGAGTTTTGCGATTTTTTCCCATTTTTGGTGATGCTTTTGCTTTGCTATAATTTTATTCTGTGTATATTTTGCAAGTTCTTTAATTTAACAGTGTTGTATGACGAGGCGCGAAACGTGTAGATATGTACTGAAGTGTTGTCTAGACATGAGTTTTTAGTTACTAAAAAACAAACTGTAGATGTTTTTTGCTTTCAAAAGAGACGTTCCGCACCTTTGTTGAAACCACCCGCTCAAGCTGAATGTTTTGATCTCAGTGTTTTACTTGTTTCATTTTTCTTTTTTCAGTTTTCCAGTAAGACTGATTTTCTAACCCGAAATTAGATCTAAGCTCAGTTACTCTAAGGGGTAAAACTTGGAATCATTCATGACTGTTCATTTTAATAGCTCTGGAAACCGTACATAGTCGTTTACCGTTTACCGTTCTTTTCCTCTTTTGTTTTTGGCATTTAACAAAGAATTGTTGTGTATTTCTGGCTTGACTGCTTGGTGGGTGAAACCGCCTCGAATGTTTTGTTACTACTGTTTTCTAATGACTGTTTTTCTTATTTATTTATTGAGACTTTTAAGTTCAACAGTTCCCATGGTCATAATACTCGACTATAAATCTCTGGCTTTCTTGCTTTCCGAGAACAATGAAATCAAATCACTGAAGAATTTTTTACTGAATTCCTGAGTTTGATGTGTTAAGCGCCATGGTGACTGCGTTTACGTCTGCCATTCCCGTCCCACTGCTAGAGAGGCCCAAAACAACTGAGAAACTGGTGCCGCCGCCTTGCAAAAGTTCACGCAGTTGGAGCTCGAGGCCGAATAACGATGATGAGATAGAACGCAAAGCGCTCTTCTACTCCCTTCAACAATAATGGATATCTCTGTCATCTGCACTTAGTAGTTCCTGGCACGCTGACCCTCGCATGTTGTTAGGTAAATGGCTGAATTTACGCAAAAAAAAAATGCTTGAAATTCCGATGGATCAGAGGAGACATTCTGCAATGTTGCAAAACCGCGAGGGGAGCCACCCTGCGGGCCCTTTTTCTGGGGATGGACCAATCAAGCCACCTTACACACTGCAGCCAAAAAGCAACTCCCGCCCCATCGGAACAGTAATGGTTCTTGCAGTCTCTAAATGTATCTCTGATTGCTTCCCATGTGAGTGCTTTTCACAGCTTAAGCTACAGCACTTCGTGACTGAGACAAGTGGACCAGTGCTAGACACCAGAAGAATACATCAAAACAGAAGGTGAGACAGGATGCGATTTATTATGGACATGGCTGCATAGCGCAATAATTGACCATCAAAATACACTACCTGAAAGTTACAGAATTACAATTACATGAATAAAACGGTAGAACACCACCCACTCTAGGTCAACCAACTGTTTTGTATATTTTTGAGTTCCAGCAAACCATATGTCCAAATAATACAAGATAATCATAAAGAAAATCTGTTGATGGATTATTGCGTCTGACAGTTCTTCTAAATAAATTGGGGTGACTAGAATATTGCATAAGTAAGGTGGTTCACAAAATAAGACGAAAGTAATCCGATGACTGTCAAGCGACAGGTGTTGTAATTCCTACATTTGAACCCCATTCCCCAAGCGTTAATCACACAAGCTTCAGCTATAAGTACGTATATAGTCATTCAAAAAGTTTAAGCAATGTACACGTGCAATTAGTAACCAACAACTACTGTTAACACTTCGGATACCAAAGTGTTATATTCCTCAAAGATTCGTTCAGAACACCCAGCCACCTATGCATATCTTCTTTTGTATCCGCTGCCATCATGATCCTAAAAAGTTAAGATAAATACATTTTTCCTTTACTTACCAGTGAACCTGCACAAGGTAAAACAAGACAAAAAAGAAAGGGAGAAAACTCTATAAACAAATTCAACGTTAAAAGAGTAAAACTTTGAGTGCAGAACACCTTATTTTTTCATGCTTCCCCCGCCTTTGAACACTTTCTACCCAAATGTCAATTGTCATAGAATGCGGATACGGACAGGTCTCCGGGCCAAGTGGTCTGATTTCCTCACTTGCGCTATCGCGTAGATTTATGATTACAACGGGCTTCTAAATAAAAAAATTAATACCTGTAGAAAACTCCTCTTAACTTTGATCCAGCAGTCTATCCTAGACATAATGGGACCTTCAAATTGCTACACTTATTACTACCAGCTTTAAAAAGCATTATAGACTAAGGAATTGATCCCAACTTTAGACGCTTCGTCCTCTGGATACTTCCAAAATCGCAAATTACCATCATTTAAAACACACCAAAAACGAGTCCATGATGCAATATTTTGCACTTCCTGGTACAAACTCTGGAAAGAATGGTACGCGAAATTACTGAAGCAACCAAGCAACCAGTTAGGAAAAGCAGTTAGAAACGAGGAAATTACCAAGAAGCCTTTGTGACCAATCGTCCCCGTCTCTTCTGGAAAACAAGTTAACGTCATTGTTACGCTACCATCTAAAGGAGACATAACATCAAGTAGACGAAATTTGGTCTTCGAAATATTCCCAATGTTCAAAGCTAGCGTCCCAATTTTTTGGAAAGAGGGATCAATTACTTCTGCTACTCCTCCAGGAGAGGAACCTGCAACATGAAATGTCTTTGAAATACAGTCACGAAACAAAGAAGCAGGAGTAAAGTCCGTAAAAAACATGCAACTGAGCGCATTACTAAACTATATGATACCTTGGTGGAATGAAGGTAAACGTGGCGGCTTTTTCAACGTTGTAGGTTGACTAAACAATTCCCGCTTTGTTCTCTGAAAGGATTAGTAAAGACTTAACTCCACAAAACATTCCTACCTTTCAAGGAGCTAAGAATTTTTCTTTGTAAAGAAGCATTTTAAACCGACCAAAGCATACACTTCCATTACACACGTGAAGTCATGCGACAAAGATTTTAGTTGGATATAGTTTGGGAAAGACACATAACCACTTTGTAAACCGTCATCGCTCGTAACCATAGTGGTGTGATGTACTGTCTCCTCATGTCGAATGAGAACAATAAAATAATATAATGTCTGATCTGCAAAAATTCACGATTTACCAAAAACTTCAAAAGCATGCTATTTAGTCTACACAGTTTTTTAGAGAAGAAAAAACAGTTTTTGATCTCACATCAATCAATTTTCCAAAAAATATACCGCTATGATAGTTGATATGACCATTAATGAAATCTCGCATAAGCCGAAGCGATATGTCTTTTACTGTCAACGTTCCTTTAGGTTTTGGCTGATCAGTGGTCCGCTTTCCGCGCGCATACCCTTGGATAAGATCATCATAAGCATTCTGTAGTGCTCTTCGACGCTCTTTCGCAATAAGCAATGCTCGCTGAGCATCGACCTTAAAAGATACGTGCTTTTAACATCCTATGCGTCGTTTCGTCTAGAAAAATAAATTGAAGTTACTTCATGATATACCTCCATCCTACTCCCCCTGAACTCCAAATTTTTTCTACACAATCTGAGTGCTTTTGCTGCTTGCGCAATTTGCTCATCTTGCACTAACATATCTTTCTCCAATCTTTGTTTTTCTGCAGCAAACCTCTGTCCCGCAGACATATGTTTCAACGGTGATGACTTCTGGCTGTAATTTTCTGAACTGTGCGGAGGAGAAGTTGCAAACTGCCTAAATTAATACTCAAGTAAAGATAATGAGCTGATTACTGTAACGCTTCCACAAAGTAAATCAAACTCGCTCATTCAAAGAAGCCGATGAAAAAAAACCAGATATTTTGAGTTCAAACAATAACCCTGTAAAACAAACCCTAATATAGTAGTCTCTCCAACGGATTTCATTTCCTTCTTCTTCTTTCGGTAAAAAGATACTGAGTGGACTAGAGGAATTTCATCTGCAAAAACTTGCCTTGGATCAATAACCATACTACGCAACTTCAAAATGCTTACCGTTATCGTCCTTCTTTTCCTCGGAATCTTTTTGAACATCAGGTTGTTTCGGAGTCCGAAGGTCAGGAGTACTATCTAGTATGGAGGACAAAAATGACGAATTTCTTGTCGGCGTCTAAAGCATTTATTTGTTACTGCGGTTGCCCTAAATTTTTGGCTAAATAAAGGTCGTTATCTACATTACTCCAATTATGACCATATCGGCCTAGAAGGACACCGATAGTGCACGCTTAGAAAATTCCATTTGTTTTGAATTTGAATAATATCGAAAAATTTAATGACTCACAAATGCAAATACTTGGGAGGATTTAGGCATACATTTTTATCGGAAGCGTGGGAAAAAATATAACAAAAAGTTTTTGCTAAACAGTGAAGGAAAGAAACTATTTAAGGGATCTAAATCGACTGAACTACACGTCATACGCTTTACGGTAAAACCCTACCAAGAAACGACAAAAATAAGGTTTGTGAGAAAACTGATAATTAAGAACCTCATCCAAGAATTCAAAAGCTCCCAATGCCTCGCCTACCAACTGGCCTGAAAGCTTGCTTTCATCCTTTTCCTCACGCTTCGGCTTTTTTTCCAGGCTTGAAGCGTCATCACTTCCCTCATTGTCATCTGACTTACTAGACCTCTTTTTAGTCTTCTCTTCTTCCTTCTGTTTTGCAGCTTCATCTGGCTCTTTCTAAGCAGAAATTAAAGTAAATGAAACAAAACTGTAAGTGACGTCGAATATGCAAACATATATGACGGCTAGAAAGAAACAAGTAACCAATGAAGAATACAAAGACTAAATTAAAAAAAGTACCGCTGCTATCGCCAGTTCCATCTCACCACCAGATGACGCACCTTCAATAGGAAAATTCTTATTACAATGGGCACCCACTAAAACAAATTCCAAGTTACTCCCGCAAAAAAACTAAGGCAAAAGCAGCCTCTGTGGTAAGCCTCCGACCTGGTTCTTCTGATTCATAGTAAGAATGTGGCCTCGTTCGCCACTGGTTTGACTGTTTGACTGCCCTAGACATTTGCCGAGCTGCCTCAAGCAGATCATCTTCGTTCTGATCAGGATGCAATGGAGCACCAGATGAAGATGAAACCTGCAGTCATTTCTTCACATCATATTAATCCCTTTGCATTTGTTTAAAATTACAAGCTGAATCCATAAAGAACAGTTTTACAAAGTCAACCAAAGCAATACCTCTCTAGGTAGGTGTAGATTAGAAATCAGAATCTTGTGCTTCACTACGTCTAATTACGAGATCAGCTTAAATCAAAAGATATTTAGAATACTGCAAAAGTAAAATACCTCCCATCTGCTCCTCAAACTTTTGACATTAGCTGACGTTGTGTCAATTTTTGCCACAACTCTAGGAATGTGTTTCGGTACTGATGCAGTTAACCGATAATGAATATGAACATCCTAAAACAGTGCAAAACTATACAGGTGGTAAGCCTCTGACATCTCAGTGGTGAAGAATGTGAAGTTATTGTACAAACCGCTATAAATTACAAATTGAAAAACACTTAATAGCAAAATATCATAACTACAAAGTTATACAACGTTACCGTTGTCGGTTGAGTGCTTTTATTCAGAGAACTGGGTTTAACTGTTTTAGATGGAGGATATGATAAAGGTGTAGAGGAGCCTTCTTGCTTTGTTTTCTCCTCTAATCTAAACTATAACACTGGAAGAACCTTTCTAAAAAATCACGTCAAACTGAAGAAATCCATATCAGTAAACCAAAGCTGATGGAGATTTCGAACAAAGAAAAAAAAAATTATTTTTGTCACTTCTTACCTCAAAGCTATTTCCCTAGCTCTTCCAGAACCTGATGGAATATTTTCTAGGGCCTTCGTTGCATTCTTGGCAGCTACGGCAATTTCATCTACAACGTCGCTTCGCCTATTGCGTCCTAAATTTAAAGGTAAATATAGGAAAAAAGCAGCCTTGTCAAAGAATTCACTGTGTACCAGCAATTTACAATTTGTAGTAAACTTTCACATTTCGGCTGTGAACTTTAAATTTAAATAAAAACGGCGGGAAAAATGTAAAAAAAACCTGAAAACAAAACAGGGTCTTCATCAGTAGTAACAACTGGTGTTTGTAGTATTTTTGGTATTGGAGACGGTTCCTCAAAATAGAGATGAATTAGGCTTTAGAAACTCGCTCATAACAAATGGCTTCAAAATAATGTAACCATGCAATAGCAAAAATTAAGGGCACTGAAAGCAGCAAAAATCATTTTGTATGTATACAAATAAGCGATTGCACGTCATCTAGCACGTTCCTTCCACGTATCGCCTTCGTATTCTTCGTAAAGTTGAAGGAAAAAACATTTCGTATAAAATTTTCTGCTGTGCAACATATCAAATGAGACGGCATTTGCTGGAGTCAAGAGTTTTAAGCTGTGAAATTGACAAAAAATTACTGTACTTACAGTAATCCTGAGCATTTCACACTGGCGAAACCGCCTGCTTTTAAAAGCCACGGGGAGCAATACGAAGTTTGGTGTGCTTCAATTGTTGAACATCTGTTCAAGAAAGCTATATTTTACTCTAAAAGTATTAATAATTTATTATTCTGCAGATTTGTAAGGAACAGCTTCCATCCCAGTCTTTTTTGCTTCCTACATATTGCGGTAAGGTACATTAAGCTTACAAAGCAAAAATACTGATATCTTATTTAACAAAGACTTCACAAAACAGCCAGTTTTGTGAGCGAGAAGTGCGTCTAACACAGGAAATTTTATTCCAATGTTTGAAACGTTAATGACCAGACAGATATGCAAGACCTTTGAATCGTATCAGTATAAGAAACTTCTAAGCCCTTTTGAACGTATTTGCAGTCCACTCCTCAGAGTTCTAATTATACAAACAAGCGTAAATTCGATTCGTCGTTTCTCCCTTAACTGTGATTCACTGAAGCTCTCACGCTATAACAATTTGAGGAAAAACAGCGCAGTTAAGTGATTAAAACAGTAGGCTCTAAGACTTCCTCGCGACGCCAATGTATATATCAATTGCAAAAATTTGACAGAAGGAAGATGAGAAGCAGAAGCAATCGGAAAGTCGCTTCTCAAAACTCTGCAGGACAATAAATTGTTTATACATTAAAGTATATTTTTCATTTGAAAAATGTCCAGCAGTTAAGACATGCCAGATTTTCACACTGTTTCTCCGTGGCTTAAAAAAGCAGCTGAAGACGTTTTACTGTAAAGTGCGTGGGATTACCGTAAAAACATTAGTTTTTTGAAAGTCTCACAGCCTTTTCCGACCTACAACTCTCGATTCCAAAAAAAAGCTATACGAAATTCTTGGTATGTTGCCGGGCAAAAAATTTCGCATCAATTTTTTTCTTTTTTGAAATTCAAAGACATGTTTTCCTCCCAAATTAGTTGACATCTTATTTTTGTTGTATCTATAAAACTGACCGGGAAAATTAAATAGCATAATAGGCATTTGAAAGCAGAACTGCAGAATTTATGTCAGTTCTAATAAACTCAAAATCATTAGATTTCATTAAGGTTAAACTGAATAGCAAGTCTTCAAAGACAGGCATTCCCAGCAGCAGCCCGGTAAAATATGCAACTTTGGGAGGAACGTAACTTGGCGGAGAATCCCTTTCCGCAACTTTATTTCTTCGCCTTTCTGTATATCAGCCTAGACATTATCAACCAGTGAAGTTTGAGAAAGTCCTGAGATAGTAAGTGAAAAAGCGTGCTAAATGGCATGGAATAGCTCTTAAACAGAGAGCGAAAAAAATATTTCTCACCAACTGCTAACGAGCATTAACAACTTACAGAGTTGTTCAACGGCTGAGGAGGGCAAGGAGAAGTATGCTCCGTAGACTGGTTCTAAAACAATTATATTATAATCATTACTGGATTTGTTCAGGAAAAACACGACTAAGGGAAAAGTTTAACAAAATTAATAAACTCCTCAACATTTCGCTTGTCGTAAAATGACTAAAATTTCAGATACGCTAAAAGAAGTAAAATTGACGACGAAATTATTCTTAAAAACAAACTCCTAGTGCCTCTAAATTGGATATTCTAGTGTAAATGCTGGAAAACGGCACATACTTCAAAAAACCTTTTAATTTTTGAATCTCCAGCTTCGCTGCTGACCGATGGACTATTCACAATAGTTGTAGATTCCAGTGGGCCATTTACTGGTTTCTCGTCATCAGTAGTCTCGCCATGCGTAAGAATCTAAAAGTCTGCGTGCAGTTTATATAATTAAACTTTAATTTGCTAAAGTTAGGAAAAAACATCTAGGAAGAGCAAAAAATATTCAAAAAGAGTTATTGCACGAAAATAAAAACTATGAAACTCACTGTCGCATGCTCTTCAGCCTCATTAGGCGCAACTTCATCGATAAACTTCAAAGGTGAAGAGACATTATTTTCCAATTTTGCAGATGTGACACCCGACTTCGTCGCAGGGTCTCTTTCTTTAGCTGTTTCAGAAGCCACATGCTTTTCAACTGCTTTTAAAGGTTCAAGTTGTCCAGAAGGTTGCTTTGATGACTTAATCACACTAAGAGGTGCATAATAATTGGCATTCGGTGTGAATAATGCACTCGCACGGGTCTGGATAAGGATGCATTAACACAGATTACAAAAATTCAAAGTAGCACCCGTTCATTGGCTACTCAGTACAACAAAAAAGTTCTTCTGCCATAGGACAAAAAAATAATAAACGAAGATAAAAAGTAGCTGATGTTTAAAATCAAAAACTGTGAAAATAGAAGAACACTACTACTACACTCTAACAAATTAACCTGGAATTTCAAAGCTCTGTTTCCTCCACAAACACTTAAACATTCAAGCAATTTTTTTGCCATGACAGCCACGGCCTGGCAAAGTCAATTTCAAGCAATAATTAATTTAAAAATTTTTTAAAAATGTAACTTCAAAGGAGAACCAGTAAACAACACCCTCTAAATTAAAACCATAAAATAAATTTGGAAAATGTAGTCAAAAAATTAAGTTACCTCCCCGATACTTAGTCTAGAAGATGATTGCTTAGTTTTTTGATTTCTGTTTCTCGGTTTAAAATCAAATTCAAAGTTGTCGATATTTGCGGCCAGATCGGCAAAAACTGAACGACGCTTTGACGGCTCTTTTCCATTACTCTTTGTTTTGATTTCTGCGTCCTGATATATCGTAACATTATCGTAACAATGGAAGAGAAAGTGTGGTGAAAATGATAACGCCATGTATACTTCAAAAGTGGCTTAAAGAAGCATGAGAATAACCATTCAATTGGATCCCAAACTTTTAAAAACATTGCTCACGTTTAACGGTACTTTCAGGAAGACAAAAAATACAGAAAAAAAAAACTTCATTTCTATTTCCGTTTATCTGCTCCAATAACTGTTCAAAAATTCAAAAAAAAAAAAAAGCAATTCAAACACTCTAGAAAAAAATTTATTTAGTTGATTTAAATAGAAAATGCCGGTTTGAACTGTCAAAAAACCCAAATGAAATCTCTTATCACAATAATCAGAACTAAACGTGCCTTGTTTTCTGAGGTTTCTGCGGGACTGGCAATTACGGTACTACTGTTCTCGGATTCCCTGCTTAGACGTCTTAACTGTTCAACTGGGTAAACAGAAGCATTTGTCTTCCTAGGTTCCTCAGTGCAAATTTCCTCTGCAGCCACTCCACCAATTTTCAACTCTTCGACCGTTTTATCTAGAACAGCGGAAAGGAAATCATAATTAGGTACAGCTCAGTGAATAAAAAATGTTGAAGCAAACGTCGGTGTTATGAGGACATTAAAGTAGAGAAAAATTAAACCGTTTTGTAGCAAACTATCAGAAAAGACATTCTCTTTTTGCATCTCTTCTTCCCTTTGTCTTGCTCGTGCCAGATATTTCTGTAATTTAAAGAGAGCAGTTTAGAAATGCATAAAAGTTAATAAAAACAAGTTGCAAAGTCATACTGTGCTACAATAAAAAAAGCACAGCACCATTCCTATTTTCCAAAAATCTTAATAATATCAATATAATCAAAAAGAAAGATAGAAGAAAAAAAACCAAATCATTATCTGACCCCTCCGCCTAAAAAACTGGTCAAAGTACAAGAAAATTTCTTGAAGAAAACGTTGATAAAACAGTGAGGACTTTTGAGGGAGGGCATTATCGAAAACTTTGAGAGTTGTCTGATGCGACAAATTTCACCGCAGTAATTCATTCAGGAATTCTTCTGGACTTCTCCTTTCTGTATGTAACAGCATTTCAACACCCCTCCAACTTTATTCACTGCTTTCCAACTGTTTCTCTGACAGATCTGCCAGAAAATGCTGCTCTGAACTATGTATGATGGTACTTTTTTGGCCAAAATTAAAAATAATCACTGGGAATGAGGATTTCTGCTTCATTTTCGAAAACAAATGAAGTCAAAGTGAGCGTGTATTTTAAAATAAAATTTTCATAAAACTTTAATCATCATTTCACTAAAAGATTCAATAACAAACCTCTGCGTCCTTCAAATCCATTTTAGCTGATTATTGAAGGCTGCGTTTTAAAATTACAAATATATCGTCAGAAGACTACTTCTTGCAACTAAAATTAACGAATAAAAATCACGCGTATCTTGTTTAAACAATTTTCCGTACTAATTCGCCACCAAAAAAAAGAAAATCAAAATCGCTTGTGAATAATTTTTGAGAGCGAATAATTGAAGAGATGGAGACTTTGCTTATTCCTAAAGCAACGTTTGGAAAACCACTCATCTGAAAATGTCACTTTAAAGACAATTACTACGTTTAAAAGTCCTTCTTAGTTATTCAGTCCATGCAAGTGGTCTTGAGTGAACCCTGGCCTTTCCAACTCAGCAGTTCAGGAGTAGATCGATCAAAGAATTGGAACAAAGTCATCTAATTTTTTGAACCACCTAAGACATCCATAACATACAATAAACGCAAAACATGTTTAAAAATGTGGGAATCGATGATAGACGAGAAAAACAAAGCTGAGAGTTTGCAAATCAACAACTGCGCATACGAAGAGGCGATACAGCAACGATATAGATTACACCAGATGCATAAATACCATAAACTGACACGGAACAAAGCGGTACAGTGCACCATTTTTAACGTCGCCGTACAAATCCTTCGCGCCAATTTTTGAATTTAAAATTTATCTCTAATTAAGCCAAAATCAATCAACAATGACATTCGAACTGTTGGCTTAATGCCAACAAAATTTTTTTCAATTAATTACAACTTAATATTTTTTGTTTTTTTTCCCTTTTTTTGATATGCTCTAATGCTTTGTTTTGGACTTCTTTGATTGATTTTATTTGAGACTATGTCTGTTGGGGGTGAATAAGTTGAGTGTAGATCACACGATACTTTTCAGTGCTCTTTCTTATCATATTTGTTACATTCTGTGTTGCTACTTTTAGTAGCTTCGGTAACAAACAAAAAAAAAAGTGGCATCAAGTAGAGAAATGACAGTCGGAGTAGAAATGGGCTACAGAGAAAAGTTCATCAATTAATGATCAGTATTGTTGTTAGATAAAAGATCTGAGCCGTTCAGTTTATTTTCTTTTTTTTCTTCTCTTTTTACTTTTTTGGACTTTTCAGCAATCTATATTATATTAGAAACGCATTTGAATGGATAGGTTGTGTCCTTTTTTTTGCTCTT